TCCGTGAGATATGCTAGATACTTTACAAATGAAAAAAAAACTGATTAGAAACTGAAGACTGAGGACGAAATGGAAAACAGCGGAAAATGCACACGGGATGAATGTACATTGATGTCCAGCGTAGCCAAAACATGGTGAACGAGGCGCTCCTCTGCACCGTGTTTTTGCGATGCGTCAAATTCATTTAAAATCGAAAAATATTAGCCAAAATCGTGATTATTGGTCTTTCGAAAAGTGGAATGGAGAGATGAACGAATTCGGGAGAGAAAAATAAAGACACGAAAAGATGCAGTGAGAGAGAGAAAGAGAGAGCGAGAAAGAGAGAGAGAGAGAAAGCGAGGGAGAGAAAGTGCGAACGAGTAAGTGCGAGATAGGGAGCCAATTACTGGAAGTTTTTCGGATAGGAACAAACCTAATTAAATTGGAGTTTATTCGTAATTTGAGCAACGTTCGCTGAAAATTGGTGTTGTTTTTTGTTAATTAAAGAACTTGCTAATAACAAAATATCAAATAGACTCTAGCACTCCTCTTAAACTATTTACTCAGACTTGCATCCCACCCAAAGCCATCTGAATGGTAAAGCGGAGAAAAGTTTGGCATATCCGAGATGGGGAGAGGAGAAGCGATGTCCGAGAAATTGGGTTGAGCAGGGCGGAGCAGCAAAAAAGCCGAAGAAAAACGAGGAAGAGCTTCTTCCCTTCTGGCTGTCCTTCTTCTTCCTCTTCTCGCCCGGGCCTACCGTTGGCCCCTCAGGTCGAGTACGTCTCCATATCAAATTGCATCCCCCCACAGAGCCATCTCACAAGGAGTCGCTTTTAGGTGCTTTTGGATTTTCGGGACGGGACCTAGCTAGTTCGATAGAGAAAAAAATTCTGAGCAACATCCCGTTTTCAAAAAGTGCTGATCGATAAAGCTGTTTTAGAAAATTTAATTTAAAGTTCGCGTTTTTTTTTCTAGTTTTCGGGTCCATTTCCTCGGTTCATGTCGTTGTCGGGGTTGTCCGGGCACCATTCATAACCCTCCGCCAAGGCCTTCGTCACAGGTTGCATTGGCGTATTGGTAGCGCGCTTGCCTACCAACTTTTTAACATTTTTTTGCCCCGGGTTCGAATCTTCGCGCTGGCTAACCGTTTGCTTTTTGGTTCTTGAACCCGTTGTCGGTGCATAAAATTTTAGTTGGCAAAAAAGCAAAGAGTTAACGGTAAATAAGAATCGAACTTGTGGCAAAAGGTCAAAAAAACTTCGTAGGCCATCGCACTAGCCACTTGGCCATGCAGAGGACGAGATGCAAGGCGCATGAAGTCCTCATGTGGCGGGGGCGATCAACCGCCGCAAATAACCTCAAATCACCACAAGGGTCCGGATACCGGAACATTTTTAATTAAATTAAATTTTCTAAAACAGCTTTATCGATCAGCACTTTTTGAAAACGGGATCTTGCTCACAATTTTTTTTCTCTATCGAACTAGCTAGGTCCCGTCCCGAAACTCCAAAAGCACCTAAAAGCGACTCCTTGTCAGCCACCCACATCCACACCTTCCATTCACACGTTCAGGCGTGAGGGAGGTGGTGGAGGAGGACTTGGAGAAATGGGGGAAGAAAAAAAGCGATATATCGCTATAATTATAAAATAGTAGTATAATAATAAAAGCGACATATAATTTTCCTGCAAAATTGCCCTGTTTACCTTTCCGAAAATTTCAAAAATTTTTATGAGGCTTTGACAAACTCTGTTAATACCGAAGGATCAGGAAAATTGATCGAAATCCGTCCTAAATGCTAGATAATGGGGGTTCAGAAGCGCGTCACGTAGTCCGCACGGAGCCCACGAGGCGCACGGCTATGCGCTACGGGTACGTTGTCCAATCTCATTTCGTTCGTTTTGTTTCTCCAAAACATACGGTGAATTTGGCATCAATCAACGGAAAACGCTAGGTAGATCCAATCTCAAAAACCTTTGCGGGCAAAGGAGCGTCGCGTAGTCCACTGTTAACCTACGTATCAATCTGTCAAGAATTTGCTCAACTTTCCTTAAAAAAATCGATTTTTTTTTATATATAAAAAATCCAGAAACTCCTAGCAGGGTCGGTTTTTAATAGTGACTTTTGTAAAATGTGCTTTAATTCAAGCGAAAAACTATCGGAAACTCTACCCCTTTGTATTTCTGTGTCCACCTAATTTCCGCAATTTAGATATGAAAAATTGCACTGTAGGGGAAACGCTTGGCTTTTTCCTGATAAACTCCCCACGATAATGCGAAAAAACCATAATCTAACAGCTATATCAGACTTTAGAAGGGGGCGGGGGAGGGGGGGGCAAAAACCGCAGAAGAAACTGATGCCTTCGATGAGTAAAAAGCCTGAATCACCAAGGTTCATGGCAAAAAAAGCAATCTAATACTCACCTTTCGAGCACCGAAAACACGCCACCGATTAGCAAGGATAACCGGGTAATAAGACAATCCAAATGCCCTCCAATAAATGAATTATCCGCTCCCCTATATCACCCGCCCCCTTTTTGAGCGGGGGAACACGCGGCGGGAGATAAACAGCCGGAAAACCTACACCACTCGCGTCAATCCCCCCCCCCCCCCCCCGCTCCCAAATCCACGCGTGTTCTTGTTGTCCTTCGGAAGTTTCCGCGTTTGTCTTCTGCCGTTTTTTTGTCAGCTCACATGATTGACCTGATTTGCGTAGTATGGGGGTGGGGGGATTGAGTTGGAGAGGGCCAACTTTTTAGATTGTTATTCCAAAAGACTACGCTTTCATGAATTTTCAGGTAGACAATTCGAAGCTAAAAAAATTACATTATGCTTAACTGCTAATTGTTTAAATTTTATGTAATTTTTAAATCTTTTTGAACAATATGTAAACGTTTTTAGTCATTTAAATTTCATAGAAAAACTGATATTCCATGAGACGATTCAGCTCTTCGAGCTAGCGAAATTGACGAAAAAAACTACCATATGCGTTTTTATTCAAACATATTGCAGGTACTTTATATACCGCATTCGGATTACCTCAATGAAATAAAAAAAGGAAAGATCAAGTTTAAGAGAAAAACTGAAACGTTCGAAATTTGGCCTTCCAGTCAAACTTTCGCGAATTTAGCCCGCCCAAATTGAATGCCATGAGATGCCGCCAGTTGTCCAGGCTCGAATTCCCAATTGCGGAAAACGAAGAGCGAAAAGTGCGAAACGAGAAGCGAATAACAGACAACTTGTCGGCAAGGCGGCAAAGCGGCGAATGGCTTCCAAGGGAAAGTAGAAAATCAACGATTTAGTAACAATGAACACTGAATTTTATAGTGTACATTATTCAAATACCTGAAGCCGATAACAGGTCTAAAAACTCAAATGCCTGCAAAGGAGACAACACTGAGAATACAACAAAAATGCTCGAACTGAGAACCTGTGAGGCATAAGAAAAAGAATTTGCTAGATTTTGGAGCGGTGTATGTGCCAGTACACTTTGACGTGCCAATTTTGCCGAGCGGAACTGCGTAAAATTTGTAGCCGATTTCGCAGCAGTTCAAAGCAGTTTGAATAATTATGCGGTTCTTACAAAATGCCATACTAGTAGAAAAATGCAAAAGTAGGGAAAGATCCAGAACCCTAAAATTCGCTAGTAAAATATTTTCCAGTGCTGGTTTTCAATCCGCCTATAACATACAGAAACTACAGCCGGGTTACATAACCTCCGTCTACCCCAGAAAAGTTGCCATTCCACGGAAATCCTCCTCCTCGGCCCCGAACTTTAGGGTGTGAATACATAGCCGAAGCCTTTGGGCCTGAATAGACCCCGTGGAGTCAATTCCCTTTTTCGGGGGGATTCAAAGGCCTGTGGAGGTCCCAAAGTGAAGGTCGTTGAATTTGAAAGCATTTTCTTCCTCCCGCGGAGATCCTCCTTCTTTCGCAAGTGTTAGGAAAAGTTCAGACGATCGCTTGACTGCACGCGCGTGCCTATTCAAAAGTCAAAAACCCGGGTCGGGGACCAGAAGGAAGAGGAGACGGAGGTAGAGGAACAAAAGGGTTATGAGCCAGAGTAGGAGGAGCATGAAGAGAGCCAGGTGGAGGACGAGTCGGCAGGGTCTGCGAGGTGGAGACGATGAAAAGGTGTAGAAGCTTATGCATATGGAAGAGGGCAGGGCGGCAATCAAATTTCGGGGACACGAGGGGTGAGTTCTGTTTTTGTGTGTTGGGAGGGTGGAAGGCATCGGAGAACAGAGGAAGTGCCAAAAATGACCATAGAAAAGCCTATAAAACTTCAGTTAATTTCCTGTGATTTTTGAGGGCGTCTGTGGCGGATCCCACCTTACATATTTCTGAGTACGTATGAGTAGCCTAAAAAATTATGCTATATCTGAACGTGAGGAATTTATGGTTTTCTTGAGTTTTGCAACTGGCTAGAAGGCAAAGACGCCAGTCTCTTCGGTTTCCAGTCAAAACATGGGCTGCTCGGTGCTCAAAAACAGTAGTTCCCAGTGTGTTTGTCTCAAATTGAATTCAGCCCTGAAAGATTGGGGCTACGGGTGGATAGCCTGGGCGATGTGGAAGACTGATGCCCGTACCAGACGATGCACAGGAAATTCAATTTAACATTTTGCCTTGAAGGTTGCATTTAATGTGCTTGAAGCTATGTAATTTAACGTTTTAAAAATCAAATTTTTTACTGCAAAAATCTTCCAGTTTTTTCTTTTCCTTCCAAAAAAGCACATTTGTGTGTTCAAAAACCCGTTTCAATTACTTATAGAAATTTTCCTCTTCGTAATTTCCGGTCACGAAAGTAAGTCTGGCCTGAAAAATCTAACCCATGCAACCGGCAATTTCAGGGCACAAAATGCCACTTTGTCTCCCTCCCCCGGCTATAACTGGGCCCAATTTTCAGGCGAAAGTGAAAAAACAAGCCTGGAGGGCAGTAAGAAAAGGACTGAACTTGCTGAGGCTGAAGAAATCGTCTTAAAAACTTGCCTATTTGCTGTAGAAAATTGAAACGTACTTTATTCAAAGGGAAACAATATTAAAATAAGAATCAATGAAGTTGAATGCGACAAAAAAGAGGCAAATTTCTGCGTGGTCGTTTCAAGACCACCGGAAGCGGGTGGATTCTGGTTTACGGTAGTTTGTTGATCGATGTCAGGGTCCGTCATATCCGTTGCTTCAACTGGACGTGCTGCTTCTGAAGTCAAAGCCTCCGCTGTTGTAGTGGTTATTGAGGCTTTCGTCGACTTGGTCTTCTGTGTTTTTCCTGGCTTCGTCGTTTTTGCATTAGGTGGCGGTGTAATTTCTTCTGAAAACGGGAGAATTAAAAAATAAACCTCATCATAGTTTGATGGTAATGGAAGTGGTATGGTGGTTACTTAGTAAAAGGAGTGAAATTTGAAATACATCTAACCTGGCACGTCAGGAATATATAGGCGAAATTCCGGCAAATCCGGTTGGTAACGGGCCGCTGAAGCTACGGCCGTTGCAAGATCGAAATTACAGTTATCTTCAGCACATATGATGTAATTTATATGGTTCTCGGCGCCAAAGTTGACCGAATAGTTCCCGACCTAGAAATTAAACCATTTTGGCATTTTTCTTTATTATTTTAGAATTTTTGTGGTGCAGAACCTAGGTATTGATAAAAGTTCATGTTTACGAAAAAACAGAATCATTATTGGACCGTGCACGGACTTCTAGGATCGACCAACTACAAAACAAGCCCGTTTTTTGAGAATTCTATGTTTTAAAACGCACCTCAATGCGTCCCCGTGCCCGTGTCGAATTCTGTGTAAAACAGCCTCGAGAATATCGGTCTGTCTTGATAGCGCCCGTTGACCAGGATTCGGGCCACCAGCTGTACACGCAGTATTCTCCCAGACAAGTCCGCGTCCCGTCTGCGTCATTTTGTGCTGAAATACCATGAAATCGTGTGTCGGGCCACACGTTGCTTATTCAAAAATCATACACTTAACCCACTTAAAATATGGCATGTCACCTTCTGCTCCTCCAACTTCCAGGGTACGAAATCGTTGCAGAAATCCTGAATTTTGATTTTTAAAGGTAATCCCAAGAAGTATTGGGGGTTCCAAAAAGGAAAGGCTTTTTTTAGAAAATTGTACCTTCATGCTAGCGTATACACCTATTTGCCAGGTTGGTACGCAAACTCCTCTGAACGACACCTTTAACTTACCCAGTCGCAAGCCGCCTCGTACATCGGTATCATGCTCCCGTCCCAGTCCGCTGCGTAGATACCGCCCATATAGAATCTACACACTGTTTTTCGTAGACCAAGCTCATTAACTTACAACTGGCGATTTGAAGCGAAAGCGTCGAATCCGTAGAGGCCGGTCAGATCCGTGCTACCGTCAAAGATATCGGAGATTCCAATCGTGACCAGCTCGCCGGTGTCTTCGGAATGCTAGAAACACGACCGCCCATGGGTTCAGTCCAGATGGCCAGTTGCGAACGGCAAACTGTACGCTTTTTGCCGCGTTGGGGGCGTGGGGCGCATAATAGCATGGCGTTTTTGGCTTCGCCATTGCACGCGTGGCAGGTCTTTCCTGATTTCAAAAGTTACCAGACGTTTTATTAGCAGCCGGGCTGCCAACGTAATCGACTATTTGAGAGCGCGGCAGATACATGTCGTAATGCTCTGTAAGGCGAAACGCCGTCATCCTCGATTTCGGTGATTCCCAGACCATTGTTTATAGTTAAAATGACCGGGGTTTTAATCTGTGTAAGGATTTCGAAAATGACGTCGATATTTTGAAATATCGAGGTTTACTCATGTTGCGGAGGCGCCTGTGAGCGCCCGCGCCCTTTTCCCTTGGCTCCCCGGTCCCTCGCCTATCCAGTGCCCTTTCCACCGTAACGGGGTCTCTCTCCCCCAGGGGCCTGCGATGGCATTTATTTCCCCAGTTCAGTTCTAATTTCCTCCTCCTCTTGCCGCCATGTCGCTCGTCGAATAAACAGTCTTTCGAACTGTTCGTCCGGCGCTGTCACACATCTACAACGCAAGACACAACAACTGGCGATCAGGATCACGAACTCACGCAACAACAAGGAAACCCCCAAGCCAAGAAGCAGCCGCTCAAGCCGCCGCCCGGTCAAGGAAAAGTTGGTCAAGCAGATGGTGATCAAGCGCAAGGATAAGAAGCTCTGCATGGCAAGAAGCGGCGTCATCCCGTGGAGGATTCGATTAAAAGGGAAGTATTTTTACCCCTATCTGGCCTTCGCACTTTTTATGTGCTCGGATCGCGCGGCCATGCCCGTCGACAAGAAGGACCAAGTCGAAGCGCGCCGTCTTCGCCTCAAGCGCAACGAAGGAAGGAAGGATGTCGCCACCAAGGACGACAGGAAATGCAGAGAAGGTCGAGACGAAAGGGTCACAATGAGGCATCCGGCTGCCCCTCGCCCGCTCGAACTCCGTCAAGACCGGCCGCGAAACAACTTCAAAAAGAAGAACGGTTATGTCCTCACCCACAAAGGACGGGATACGCTTGCAAAGAGGTTAGGCTTGGAGATTGTCCCTCCCATATCCCCGGAGGATAAATCGGACAGGGTATGCCCCCACCCGCAGCATCCAAAACTCGATGGATCCGCGCCAGAAAGGAATTCGGACCGCTGGACGATGGTCATCGATCGCACGAGGAGCCCCACGAGCCCCGGCGAACAAAAAGCGACAACATCAAGTCGACAAAGCCCGGATCGCCACCACCAAGAGCAGCCGGCCGATGGGTTCCACCTCTACGGAAGAGGTCCATCGCAAAGACCGAGTGTTTGCAACAGCTCGGCGGACGGAGCGCGCAAATCGAGCAGCCCGTCGACATGAAGCCCAACATCAAGCTCATCATTCTTGCAAAGAGGGAAGGAAGTCGTGCCACAAGTCGCCGTCTTCCTTGGTCAAGCATCGCCGGACGTTCTGAAGGAAGGAAGGAAGGATGACTAAGCCCTACGCTCGCCAATTTAAAAAAGGAAAAGCAAATAAGTATCCACTTATTTTACGTTGTGATTTGATCCATCGTTTTGCTGTACGCAGTTGTACATTGCCTTTTGGTGTCTCCTCCTCTTATCCACATTTCTTTTCGTTTGTACAGGGGGAGGTGTTGCGGAGGCGCCTGTGAGCGCCCGCGCCCTTTTCCCTTGGCTCCCCGGTCCCTCGCCTATCCAGTGCCCTTTCCACCGTAACGGGGTCTCTCTCCCCCAGGGGCCTGCGATGGCATTTATTTCCCCAGTTCAGTTCTAATTTCCTCCTCCTCTTGCCGCCATGTCGCGTCGAATAAACAGTCTTTCGAACTGTTCGTCCCGCGCTGTCACACATCTACAACGCAAGACACAACAACTCACTTCTAAACAGGACCAAGAGGACTCGCAGCCCAGTCCTGTTGCCTTCGTATCTGGCTTTTGTATCTGGCATATCAGATTTTCTAGTAAGATCTCTGACAATCTAATTTTACGGTATCACCTAGAACGCTAATGCACGTTCTTAGTTTCAGCTTACATGCATGTAGTAGGTGTCACCGCAAGCTGCGCTAGTGGCCCTAGCGGTTGTTCCAGCATTAACAATCACATCATCTAGCGACGTGATGTTGACAAACTAAATAAATTAAGATGCATCTATTTTCACGAAATTACCCCCGGCATCTTGTAGCAGTTAATGAATCGATTATTCTTCGTGACTGGCACTTCCTGGCTGCCCATGGTGGCCGAAATCTTTTTGTGTTTGTTGGCTGGGTCGGCGGTGAATTTGGGATCCTTTTTGTTGCATGATGTCGTGCTGTAGTCATGGAGGTAGTTTCGTAATTATATTTGGAGCCTACTTGCAAGCACAAAAATAGGTAGGTCCGTCTGGGAAGCTGACAGCATCATAGATACATCCCGGAGTCATATATTTTAATCCGGAGACGCATCCTATGCGAGTAGTTACCGGAAAACCTAAAAAGGGGCGTCTTTCTCTCTCCCTCTCGCTCTCTCTCGCTCTCTCTCTCTCTCTCTCTCTCTCTCTCTCTCTCTCTTATTTTCTCGCACTATCTCTCCATCTCAAACTTACTGATGCCCAAGTCCTCGTACGCCGGGTCCATTATCCAATAGCTAGTATACCGTAGGCAGAAATCGCCTTCGCAATCCTCACTAAGATCGACATCTTTTATTTCTATTAATATTAATATTACCTATCACCTAGATCTCCGCTGCGCCAACAAGTGATAGCTAAACTGGATCGACAAAACAGCACAAAATAAATTGAGATAATAAGAAAATACATTTTCTAACGCCTTCCTAAGTAGGTCGGATGGTTGAGCGAAAGACCTTCAATCCTGAAAAAACTTCCGTCACGGCAAAAAAACAACATTTTTCCAGAATGGTATCGAAACAATATCGTCGAAAATTTTGAAAGATCGCCACCAAACCAAATTTGAGCTTTTCAAAAGGCCAAGTGCCATGCGAGTTGGACATAAAATGCAGGGCCAATTACCCAGGCCACTACCCGACCCCGGCTAATTGTGGGCTAACCCTTTGCTTCTGAACAAATCAAAATGTCAGATCCGTTAGCGGTAGGTTTTTGATGATTTTTGGTGCCACTTTGCGTCATGGCACCTTATGAAGACTCGTTTTACCCATTTACGTTCTAGCCAATCATCGCACAAATGATAGGTTGCCAGGTGCGCAGGTTCGATCCCCGCCAGCGCAAGCGACATACAGCGACATACAGATTACCACGCAAGAATCACATCAATCTATCTCAAAAATCGCTGCAAAAGACGGAACCCCGATACCGATCCGGCGGATCGGACGATTAGTCCTTTAAATTCTGCTCGACGGCTAATATTTCTACCGGGAAACACACCCCTTTACTCCGGGGAATTTATTAAAAGACAAGCCCCCCCGCCCATTGTGTAGACGCCGGCCAGATATACCTACACCTAGAGATAATTGCTGGTACCCGTACCGAGGCGGTCTGCGGCGAAGAGGTGACAAATTTTACTTGAGCCCCAAAACCGCCCAGGCAGTGCTTGGTACCTGCTTTACCAGTTCGATAGAAAAAACACCTCACGCCTTGGAGGAGATAATGCTGACTTGCGGAACATCTTCGAGATTCCCTGGTTCACTTGGTGTCGACTGAAAAATGATACATCTCTTCGTCGAAGTCTCCTACCATGACGTGCTCGCAATTGTTTGCACATTTGTGGTTTGTTTTTGTTAGCAGCAGGCTGTAGTGCTTTCCAAAAATCTCGCAACAAAACCGCGAGAAACCGTACATTGTTTTAGCTCGGCACGCTTTCCGTCATCACGAATTCAATAGCCCTGCGCATGATTTGGAAGCAGGAACAACTGGTGCTGGTGGTTCGTCTTTATCTGGTCGCCGAGCAGCTCTCACGGCTCCTAATGACGATTTGTGCGTTCTACAACTTACCAGCATCATTCGTGCGCTTTGACCCGGATCCGGATGACTGGTATCTGAACTTTGACGAGCGGTAAGTTGGACTAACACGGAGTCGTTTGCGTGTCCTCGGGGCTTTGGGATTGGCCCAAGCCTAGCTTGTGCAGAACTTTTTGCTGATTCCGAATATCGTCACCACTTTTGCGGAACAGCCAATTCTCGAAAGTCATGATGGATTTAAGGCGAAAAAAGCCACAAAACAGCTACTTTTGACGGTCATGAAAACATGCGGAATAGGTGTTAGAAAACACAGCTAATGCATCTCATTCAAATAATTGTTATAAAATAACCTACTTCACACAAACCTCAAAACGTCAAAGTTTGGAAATTTTGCGAAAATTAGGGGCATTAAAATGTTTATAAAATGCCAGTTGTTGGTCTCCATGTCAATAAATAATGTTAGTATTTTTCGCGTATGGAGTTTTCTGACATCTTTTTCTATAGAAACCCAAGTGAATCATCAACTATTTCAGGATCACCGACTATGAATTTAACCAGGATGACCCGCTGTATCCAGAGGTGATTCCGAACGAGCGTAATTTCACGGTGATGGGACAATCAACCTATTTCGGCCTTCGGCATTTAAGCGGGCTAGCGGGCAGCCTTTTTTATACATTGCAGCATACACAGGAGACGCTGCAACTGGGACTCGCCACGAATCGACTACTCAGCGTTTTGTTTGATGGTCAGTTTCAATGGCAGCGTTTCAAAAGGATACAGGCGTCAGCTATCGGATTTTCTGGGCAGCCGTTGGATGCGTTCTAGCAAGGACCTTTACAGGGGCTGGGAAGTCAAAATTGGCGCGCACGGGGATTGAACCTACTGGTCAAGAAACGAAAGGGTCACTACCGAGAGGCATCAGAAAATTGATTTCTTTGCAAAAAAACGCAAAATGTTCGAGAAAGACCGAACCGTTTCCGGCGAAAACTACTTTTTGAGGGTGCGGCCAATGCCTTGTAAGGCGGCCACTCAATCTCTTGATCTTGGTGATTCTCTGGCCAATTTTCACAGTCAAAAATCTAGAATGACCCAAATTCGGTGAGTATTCCAAATCAGCCTGAGAATTTTTAAACGCGAGCGTTTTCACATCCAAAAGGGTGCAAAAGTTCACGCGGCGCGGTCGCGTTGCAGTCGCATCTTGCCGTTCTGCCAGGAATCAACGCTGACGTTAGGGGCGCGGACCAGGTTTCGAAGCTCCTTTAAATCGATTTGCCGTATTTTGGCAGCTTATATTTGTTTTCACCCCTTCCAGGTCGCTACTACGAACTAACGATGAAACAGCCGTATATACAAATTCTCGTTATCTTCAGCCTGCGCCTTACATTCCGATCGTGTTTATATCTCGCATAGTATGTCACATTTTGAAGAGATCGGATTTTTCTGCGCTATCTT